GGCCATCGGGACCCTCATGCAGTCCTTGTCCTGGTGGGCGGCCAGTTCCCCTGGGTCCTGCAGGACTATGTGTCCCCAACCCTGGACCTCAGCAACCCGGCTGTCTTCCGAGACCTGTCCAAGCCCATCGGTGTGGTGAACCCCAAGCATGCCCAGCTCGTGAGGGAGAAGTGAGCACGTGGGCAGGGGCTTGGCTCAGCGGGGTGGGGATGAGCGCCGGGGGCTCCTACTGACTCCTGCTCACTGTGGAACCAGGTACGAGAGCTTCGAGGACCCTGCCGGCACCATCGACAAGTTCCACTATGGCACCCACTACTCCAACGCAGCAGGCGTGATGCACTACCTCATCCGCATGGAGCCCTTTACCTCCCTGCACGTCCAGCTGCAGAGTGGCCGGTGCGGCCCCAGGGGTGTGGGGGAAGTCGAGGGGGACACAGGCCCTCCTGGCATCCCTAGCTGGCCTCTGGCTCCCCACTTCCCTTCCGTGCACCCTCTCTCCCTGGCTCACCTTGGCCCCGTGTCCCTCTCCAGCTTTGACTGCTCCGACCGGCAGTTCCACTCGGTGGCGGCAGCCTGGCAGGCCCGCCTGGAGAGCCCTGCCGACGTGAAGGAGCTCATCCCAGAGTTCTTCTACTTCCCTGATTTCCTGGAGAACCAGAACGGTAGGACACGGGCAGCGTGAGGATGCAAAGCCCAGGCTGGCTGGCCAGGAGTGACAGGGATGGCACAGGGTGCAGCTGACCCAGTCCTTTGCCAGGTTTTGACCTCGGCTGCCTCCAGCTGACCAACGAGAAGGTGGGCGACGTGGTGCTGCCTCCGTGGGCCAGCTCGCCTGAGGACTTCATCCAGAAGCACCGCAGGGCTCTGGTGAGGAGGCGGCCACATCGAGATGGGCGCACACCCACAGTTGAGGGTCCTGGGGGCACAGCCAGCCCTGGACTGACCGCCCCCGGACCCTCAGGAGTCAGAGTATGTGTCTGCCCACCTGCACGAGTGGATCGACCTCATCTTTGGCTACAAGCAGCGGGGGCCAGCAGCAGAGGAAGCCCTCAATGTCTTCTATTACTGCACCTACGAGGGTGGGTGGCGCACTGCACTGAAGTGGAAACAAGGTGCAGATGAGCGGGGGCAGGTGCACAGGGCAGAGGGAGTCCTGACTGCCCTGCCTCCTGCCCAGGGGCTGTCGACCTGGACCACGTGGCAGATGAGCGGGAACGGAAGGCTCTAGAGGGCATTATCAGCAACTTTGGGCAGACTCCCTGTCAGCTGCTGAAGGTGAGGCAGCTTGGAGCACAGTGGTTGGGGCTGCCCAGGCCGTGGCGCTAACTGCCCGCATGTCTGCAGGAGCCACACCCGATGCGCCTGTCGGCTGAGGAAGCAGCCCATCGCCTGGCACGCCTGGATACCAATTCACCCAGCATCTTCCAGCACCTGGACCAGCTTAAGGCCTTCTTTGCAGAGGTAGGAGGAGGACGGGATCTCAGGCTCCCATTCTGCAAAATGGGTTTAACTTCACTGTTCTTAGCAATGTTGTGGGACATAAGGGAATATCCAATCCGATTTAAAGGCACACTGGAAAATAAGCTAAACACAGCTGGAGTATGGGAGTGCCTTCTTCATGCGGGCCAGGACAGTGCTGATGAACTCAACCACCTCCAAAAATGCTGGGGAGATCAGAAGGCAGGCATCTGGCTGGCCCCTTCCTTCCTGCCTGCATTCCTGGATGTTGACCCCAGGCTGACCATTTTTAAAAATGATTTATTTACTCATTTATTTGAAAAGCAGAGTTACAGAGAAGGAGGGAGGGAGAGAGATCCTCCATCTGCTGGTTCATTTCCCAAATAGCCACAATGGCCGGGACTGGGACTGGCCTGGAACTTGATCCGGGTCTCCCACGTAGGTGGCAGGAGCCCAAGCTCTCAGGCCGTCTTCTGCTGCTTTCCCAGGTGCACAAGCAGGGAGCTGGATCAAAAGTAGAGCAGCCAAAACTGAAACTGGCGCTCATATGGGACGCCAGTGTTGCAGGTAGCGGCTTAACCCTCTGTGCCACAATGTCAGCCCCCAAGCTGCCTTGGAGGCTGCCCTCCCCTCCTGCCATTGGGCTAAGGGCTCAAGGAGTAAGGGGGTGGGAGGACCAGAGTTGAGACCGAGCTTGATCTTCTCAAAGGATCCGGCTCACCACCCTAGACACCCCCTTGAAGGCCCACTGGTCTCGCATACCTGCTTTTTGAGAGTGACTTCTGCATCTCTGACACAGGCTGTGACCCCTGGGGGCAGAGGGCAAAGGAAGGAGTGGTGTCCTGGGAAGCACATCATGTAGTCGGGGCCCCAGTGGGCTCTCAGACACCGCCAACTCTGCACTTCACCTTGCAGGTGGTCAGTGAGGGTGTGCCCCTGGTGCTAGCCCTGGTCCCCCACCGGCAGCCCCACTCCTTCATCACCCAGGGCTCCCCAGACCTCTTGGTAAGTGTACTGGGCGGGGCTGCACTTCAGCCCCACCCCACCCCCGACTTGCCCCAAGCCCACCTCTGTCCAATCCTGCCCGCAGGTGACTGTGAGTGCCAATGGGCTGCTGGGCACCCACAGCTGGCTGCCCTATGATCGCAACATAAGCAACTACTTCAGCTTCAGCAAAGACCCCACCATGGGCAACCCCAAGTAGGACAGAGGGCTATGGGTGGGGGTGGGTTGAGTCCTCTCCTACCCAGAGTTAACCAGCTGCAGGGGAGATCCCTGAAGGTGTGGGTCTCTCCCATGTGGCCTGGCCTCACCTGCCACCTCCCTCCCTCGGTCAGGATGCAGCGACTGCTTAGCGGCCCTTGGGTGCCGGGCAGTGGCGTGACTGGGCAGGCGCTGGCTGTAGCCCCTGATGGAAAGCTGCTGTTCAGCGGTGGCCACTGGGATGGCAGCCTGCGAGTGACTGCACTGCCCCGAGGCAAGCTGCTGAACCAGCTCAGCCGCCACCTTGGTATGCGCAGCCCTGAGCTGGGGGGTGGGCCTGCAGGTGGAGGCTGGCGTTCTGAGGCTGGTCAGGGAGGCTGTGGCTACTCTGTTCTGCTTGTACACTCCCCTCCCCTCCCCTCCCCTCCCCATGTAGATGTAGTGACCTGCCTTGCACTGGACACCTGTGGCATCTACCTCATCTCAGGCTCCCGGGATACCACGTGCATGGTGTGGCGGCTCCTGCAGCAGGTGTGTCCGGGGGGTGGGGGGCAGCCCTGTGGGAGGTCCTGTGGCCCAGACCTGCAGCCCAGCTGGTCTTCCCTTTCCCTCCCCTGCTGCAAACAAGCCTGAGACTCGCTGGCCCTCAGCTCTTTGAGCTTGGACAAGGCCTGTGACTTTCCTGAGCCTCAGCCTTGTCATCCAAAGGCCAGTCCTAAGCCAGCCCCGGCTCCCCACAGGGTGGTCTGTCAGTAGGGCTGGCACCAAAGCCTGTGCAGGTCCTGTACGGCCACGAGGCTGCAGTGAGCTGTGTGGCCATCAGCACTGAACTGGACATGGCTGTGTCTGGATCTGAGGTGTGTGTATGCGTGTGCTCTCGGGAGGGTGTTTGCTGGCGCTGCCCCCGGAGCCAAAACCCCTGTCCAGCACCCTAAGCCGCCTGTCCACAGGATGGAACTGTGATCATACACACTGTGCGCCGTGGCCAGTTTGTGGCAGCACTACGGCCTCCGGGTGCTGCATTGCCTGGGCCTGTGTCCCACCTGGCACTGGGGTCTGAGGGCCAGATTGTGGTACAGAGCTCAGCGTGGGAGCGTCCTGGGGCCCAGGTATGGGGAAGGGGTGCCCCGCAAAGACAGGGGGGCAGGCACTGGGGATCCTGTCCTTGCCGACACGCCGCACTCCCTGCAGGTCACCTACTCACTGCACTTATACTCTGTGAACGGGAGGCTGCGGGCCTCCCTGCCCCTGGCGGAGCAGCCTACGGCCTTGGCAGTGACGGAGGACTTTGTGTTGCTGGGCACGGCCCAGTGCGCCCTGCACATCCTCCACCTGAACAAGTGAGCCCCACCGTGCATGGGTTCAAGGCCCCTCACGCTGATGCTGGTTGTCAGGGGACGCCGGGGTGGTCCCTGGCATCCCACGTTCTCTGGGCACACCTGTGGGCATGTCCAGCCGTCTGCTGGTGGCAAAGCCCCCCATTCTGTGCTTCTCCCCCGCTCCAGGCTGCTGCCGGCCGCGCCGCCCCTGCCCATGAAGGTGCCCATCCGGAGCGTGGCGGTGACCAAGGAGCGCAGCCACGTGCTCGTGGGCTTGGAGGACGGCAAGCTGATCGTGGTGGGCTCCGGGAAGCCCTCTGAGGTGATGGAGGGCAGGGTGGGGGCTGGGGTGGGGCGCGGGAGCGCGGCCCTAGCTCACTCCGCCCGCTCCTGCCTGCACCAGCTGCGCAGCAACCAGTTCGCGCGGAAGCTGTGGCGGTCGTCGTCGCGGCGCATCACCCAGGTGTCCTCCGGCGAGACGGAGTACGGGTCGGGAGAAGCACGCTGACCGCCTGGCCGCCCCGGCTCCGCCCCCAGCGGGCCCGACCTGCAGGCAGGCCCCGCCCAGGCGCCGGCGGGAACACCGTGGAGTCGGCCGCGCCAGCGGGTGGGCGGGGCCCCACTCCCGCCCAGCTCGGGGATTGGCGGGCGCGTCACTCCAGGAAGTCCCGCCCCTCGCCCTTAGATGGGGGCCACCCTGAAATCCCGCGCTGCCTCCGCGCTCGCGGCTGCACATTTTGCACAACCTGGGGCCGGGGGTCCCTGGCTTACGAACCCCCAGTCCCGGCGGAGCACAGGGGTCGCCCGTGGCCTTAACCCCTCAAGGCGGCCCCAGCTCTCCGTTCTTGGCAATAAACCCGGCCTAGTTTTGTAGCTGCTGTGTCTCCAAGTGTGCGTGCGTGCGGCGTCGCGGACCGCGGTGGCCACCTCGAGGCCGCCTGGCTCGCATTCTCCGGCTTCGGGGCTGGTTGGGCAGCGCGCACGTCCCTACGGGACCGGGCGAGGCCGCCAGGGGGACGCCCGCACCCCGCCCGGCCCCGCCTCCCCATTGTCCGGCCCCTTCCCGGTCCCACCTCCCGGCCCGCCCCGTGCCGCGCTGGGCGGACCCGAACCTGGCCTCCCCAGGGACTCCGCGCCGGCTTCCTGGCGGGCCCGCGGGTGGGCCCACGGGTGGTCTCGTGGCTTCAGAGGCCGAAGTCTCGCCCCGCTAAGTGGATCGTGCACCCGCGAGGGACGGCGCAGCAGGTCAGGGGGGAGTGGGGGCGGAGGCCGGGGCTTGCGGAGCGGAGGGCGCCTCTCTGCCCCCACCTCGGGGTCCGCGATCCTGTGGATGTTGTGGTCCCCGAGCCGATGTCCGTGTGTCTGTGCGTGAGTCGGGGCTGGTGGGCATGCTGGGTTGTTGCTTTGTTGGCTCGGAGCCGGCTGAGGAGGCGGGGAGAGATTCCATTCTACCAACTCAGGGTGGTGTCGGGCAGGTGGACGCCAGGCCTGCGTGCCACTGCCTGCGCTGGTCACAGGCCCACCTGTCAACAAAGGTCCCAGAAGAGCCCCTCGGTGTTCAGTGGCTCAGTGTACACACCCCACACGTGGCAGGGGCCACCAGCCTGTGTTCCAGTCCACTTGGCCACAGCACTGGATTGCTGACTTAGCCTTACTGTGGGCACATGGCTGGCAGACATCTGGGTATGCGATGGTTAACTTCTGGGGATGTGGGGGCCCTCCCTTCTGTTCTCCATTTCCTCCAGGAAAGGGCCCTCCTCCACCCAGACTTGGTACCCTCTTCCCCACACCTCAGGAAAGGGGGCCTAGCAGAGTCAGGGCCATAGCGTCCAGGGAGGAGCTGGGACGGAGGGGCCCTGCCCTTCAGGGTTTGGCCCTTTGAATTTCCGGGTGAGAAAGGACCACTCAGGTGGTCTCTGGGCCCATGGCCCTGTGGCCTTGCTGCATCTGCCAAGCTTCCCTTCTCCTCGGCCTCTGAGCTCTAGAGGACCAGACACTGACCGACAAAGGAGCATCGTCACAAGACACCCGCCTGCCTTGGGGCCTTAGGCTCCTGCTGAGACGTGTGGGGCTGAGTCCCCCGCTGCCACTCTCTTCTGGCTGAGACGGGACCAGAGGCTGTGTCTGCTTTCGCGCCTCTAGCATCCTTGGACTCAGACCAGGGTCTCTGAGACGCGGTGGTTTCTAACCTGTCCACCGTCATGAGCTGCGGCCTGACCCCTCCAGCTGGCGCCAGCTCTGTCGCCTCCATCACGCCTGCCACAGGAGGAAACTGGTCTAGCCCCGGAATGAATCAGGATGGAGTGAGCCGGAAGACAAGGCTACTCCAAGGGACTTCTGGCCTGAGGATTTCCCCCCGCCCCTAAACACAGCCCGTCGTGGACTCAGGAGCAAGCTCCCAGGGAACCAGGCTGACCAGCAGAGCCATGCTTCAGAATTCCCACCACAGCAAAGACATGGCTTTTGTGGGTAAGTACCCTTTGATCCAGATCTTGGGCCCTGGGCGGGCTACGAGGTACCCCAGCTGGGTAGGTCACCAGCAAGTCCCAGTCACAGGCTCTACAGTCCCTGTCTCAGCTGTCTGAGGGGTGGGGGTGGGGGTTGGTGGGGTCTACGCAGGGTCCGGGGACCACTGGCCTCTGGGCAGAAGAGAGCAGCAACATTGACTTCCCTTCTGGCTCAGCTTTATTTTGCAAAACTCTCCAAGACCATCCGTGACCAGAGGCTGCTTGTGGGGGCCAGCAGGAACCCCTGTGCTCTCACAATCCAGACTTGATGGAGGAGCCGCAGCCACTGCCTTCTGGTGCCGTGGTTGGCGGAGGTGGTGCAAATGGGGCAGGAAAGGGAGAAGCTTGCTGACTTGTCAGATGGAGACGGTGGAATTGCACGAGCAGAGGCCTGGGAGCTTGGGGAGGCACAGACAGCAATCTGGGAAGGGCTGGGTGTCCAGGCTGGCAAGCAGAGGTGAGCCTGTCGGAGGTGAGGGCAGGGAAGTGGGCCAGCCCAGTCTAGATGCCCTGCAAGGAGCTGGCGACTCTACCTGCCCAGCCGAGTGTTTGCCAACTTTTTTTGAGGACAGGTGTGAGTCTGTCAGAGGCCTTCACCTTAGTTCCTTGCTCCTGACTCTCTCCTTCTTCCACAGATAGGAGCCTGAGAGGGCAGGACGGGGACGGGGATGGGGTACGGACAGGGGCAGGCACAGCCCTGGCCTTCAATACCTCCTCCTCATTCCCGGATGAGCCTCCCGAGGGCTCAGGCAACATCATCCCCGTCTACTGTGCCCTTCTGGCCACTGTGGTCCTCGGTCTGCTTGCATACGTGGCCTTCAAGTGGTAGGTGGCCTGGGCACTGCCTTTTGGCATCCCCTCCCCAGCTGGACTCCCGGCCTGCTCCCTGTCTTGGTGAAAGTGGGAGCAGACTGGCAGGTCCCCTCTACTCCCCATAGCTGGCGATCACATAAGCAAAGACGGCAGCTGGCCAAAGCTCGCACTGCAGAACTGGGTGGCCTCGACAGGGACCAGAGGCACGAAAACAGTGTCTTTTTGGACTCGCCCAGTGATCCCAGCCAGGGTGAGCCCCTTTCTCCATCTTGTGGTCCTTTGGATCTCTCTGGTGCTGCTATGCCACCACCCACCCCTCGGGTAACAACTCGTGTCTCCCACCCTAGGGCCACAGTATGAGCCTGGCTGCCGACTCTACCTGCATCTCCCCCGGCAGCAGCAGGAGGAAGCAGAGCGGCTCCTGGAGGTGTCGGGCGAAGCTGACAAGGGCTGGCGGGGTCTGGCAGGCCGCCTGGGCTACCCGCCTGAGGCTGTGGAGACCATGGCCCAGGGCCAGACGCCAGCCTATACCCTGCTGAGGGACTGGGCCACTCAAGAGGGCAGCAGAGCCACCCTCAGGGTGCTAGAGGAAGTCCTGGCTGCCATGGGTCGTGAAGATGTGGTCCAGGCCCTGAGCCCCCCAGCCGAAGGCTGCTCTGTGGTGTGAATGATGGGGCGTGTTCCCCACCCCCACCCCAGCTCCTCATACACCTTCCCCTTGTGGGCTTCCTGGCATTGCTGGCCTCAACCCGCTTGGTTCTGGGGGAAACACCAAAGATGCTGCCACCACTCACTTGCTCTCCCTCTCCCCTCCAGGACAGGTACCGGCCTATGGGGGAGAAGGGAGGTTGGCAGTGAGGGTGGTCCTGCCCTCCCAGTCTCTACTCCACCTCCCTTTATTTAGCCTCAGCTATTTTTCTACTTTTGTATCACACATTAAAGGTACTTTGGACTTGTTTGTGCTGGCTCTGTCTGGCTTCTTGGGCCTGTGAGGTCGCTGGGTAGCTACGAGGCAGAAGCCCTGAAAAAGGCTGGGGGTGAGGGGAAAACCCTCTCCTATCAGCACTCAGGTGATGAGTAGCATGTCCCATGGAAGACGGATGGGCTTTGGAGACAGACAAGTTCACGCTGTGCACCTGCCATTCACTGGTTGATTCATGCTAAGAAGTGATTTTGCCTAGAACTTTAGCTTCCTTGGCTGAAGATAAAAATGGCACATTCAGTATCCCCATCCCCAAGGTTTCCAAATTGGTACTGATGGAAGCTGGTTTTAGCCGTGTCCTGACTTAGGCTGGAGGCTGCCCCTCTAGTCAGGAGGCAAGAGCAACCTCCGTCCCAGCAAGCTGGATGGCAAGCTGGAACAGAAAAGCAAAGGGCTCTTCTTCCAAGACTCGGCTCTACTCAGGAGAGGGAGCTCCAAACATGCCTCTACAGCTGCTCATGTGGTCTGCATACAAGCCAAGGACAAGAGGTCAGAACACCCACCCAAGGGGCAGTTCAGGACAGGGACCTGGGCCAAGCCACCTGCACCCTATGCATATGCCCACCCGGAAAAGGAGCAGGTAGGCAGGCTACCACGGTTTGTTTTTTTTTTGTTGTTTTTGTTTTTGTTTTTGACAGAGACAGAAAGGTCTTCCTTTTCTGTTGGTTCACCCCGCAATGGCCCCTACAGCGGGCGTGCTGCGCCAATCCAAAACCAAGAGCCAGGTGCTTCCTCCTGGTCTCCCATGTGGTACAGGGCCCAAGCACTTGGGCCATCCTCCACTGCCTTCCCGGGCCACAGCAGAGAGCTGGCCTGGAAGAGGGGCAACCGGGACAGAATCTGGCGCCCCAACCAGGACTAGAACCCGGTGTGCCGGTGCTGCAGGCGGAGGATTAGATTTTTTTTTTTGACAGGCAGAGTTGGACAGTGAGAGACAGAGAGAAAGGTCTTCCTTCTGTTGGTTCGCCCCCCCCCGACCAATGGCTGCCACAGCCAGCACTGCGCAGATCCGAAGCCAGGAGCCAGGTGCTTCCTCCCGGTCTCCCATGCAGGTACAAGGCCCAAGCACTTGGGCCATCCTCCACTGCCTTCCCGGGCCACAGCAGACAGCTGGACTGGAAGAGGAACAACCGGGACTAGAACTCGGGGTGCCGGCGCCGCAGGCGGAGGATTAGCCAAGTGAGCCGCGCGCTGGCCGTTACCATGGCTTTTGAGCGCCTGCTTGGGAAGGTACAATGGCTCTATCCTGGGGTGTACCGCATCCAAGGGCTTCAGCAGCACAGCCATCCACACTCACTCAGGGGACCTGGGATCCAGTCGTGGCCCACGGATGCCCAAGGTAGATCCTGTCCCCTTATTAGGACTGGCTGTTCTGAGTAGCAAACTCATCGAAACTGCTGTTCCTCAGAAGCAGATTACCAGGCTTTTTAACGCCCTGTGATTCTCCCTTAAAATAAGGAAGGATAGGAGGTTTATAGCCCCCTTCACCGTGAGATGACCCAAGGGCAATAACCCTCAACAGTCAGGAGAGCAAGAAAAGGCTAGTTCCGCACACTGGAAACATCACATCCAACTTCAACGCAGCTCGCAGCAGAGTGCCAGGTCCTGTGTTAAGTGGCATGGACAGGATCTAGATGAACTGTCTTGGGGATCTGAGCCTGAACGAGTCTGAGGAAAGAGACTTTCTTCCCCCCTTAAATATATATTTATTTATTTGAAAGAGCATCAGACAGTGAGGTCTTCCATCCACTGGTTCACTCCCCAAATAGCCACAACAGCCCAAGGCTGCGTCAGGCTGATGCCAGGAGCTGGGAACTTCATCTGTATCTTTCCCCTATGGATGGGAGGGCTCCAAGTGTTTGGACCATCATCCACCGACTTCCCAGGCACATTAGCAGAGCGCTGGATTGAAAGTAGAACAGGACCGGCGCCGCGGCTCACTAGGCTAATCCTCCACCTTGAGGCACCAGCACACCTGGTTCTAGTCCCAGTCGGGGCGCCGGATTCTGTCCCGGTTGCCCCTCTTCCAGGCCAGCTCTCTGCTGTGGCCCGGGAGTGCAGTGGAGGATGGCCCAAGTGCTTGGGCCCTGCACCCCATGGGAGACCAGAAGCACCTGGCTCCTGCCATCAGATCAGCGTGGTGCGCCGGCCGCAGCGCGCCACCCGCGGCGGCCATTGGAGGGTGAACCAACAGCAAAGGATAGACCTTTCTCGCTGTCTCTCTGTCTCTCTCTCACTGTCCACTCTGCCTGTCAAAAAAGTAGAACAGCCAGGACTCAAATTGGCATATAGGTATTCCAAGCAGTGGCTTAATCTGGTACACCACAATGCTGGCCCCAAGGCGAAGAGATTTTGAACAGAGATAAATACAGAATCTCTTCAAACATGTCTTATCTGAAACTTGACCGCTCCCTGGCCACTACCCTTTAATGGAAGACAGCCTAACTTTCCTTGAAAAATCTGAAACTTAGGCTGGCGCCGCGGCTCACTAGGCTAATCCTCCGCCTGCAGCGCTGGCACACCAGGTTCTAGTCCCGGTCGGGGCGCCAGATTCTGTCCCAGTCCCTCCTCTTCCAGTCCAGCTCTCTGCCGTGGCCCAGGAGTACAGTGGAGGATGCCCCAAGTCCTTGGGCCCTGCACCCGCATGGGAGACCAGGAGAAGCACCTGGCTCCTGGCTTCAGATCAGCGTGGTGCGCCGGCCACAGCGCACTGGTTCACATTGTGGGGTGAACCAACGGAAAAAGTAAGACCTTTCTGTGTCCACTCTGTCCAAAAAAAAAAAAAAAAAATCTGAAACTTAGAGCTTTGGGTCATAACCCCAAGTATGACATGATTCTGAGTTCCAGTGGCTACACCCTGTACTGCAAACCTACCTCTGGGTCTCACATGTGATGGCAGGGACCTAAGTACCTGAGCCATCAGCTACTGCCTCCTAGGATGTGCACTGTTAAGAAGTTGGATTGGAAACCAGAGTACCTGACAGGGGGATGCAGGTGTCCCAAGTAGCATCTTTAGTGCTACACCAAATGTCTACCCCACTGCCATTTTAAATAAGGGACATCAATCGCCCCAGATGTTAGTATATGGGGGTATGTGTCTTTGAATCAATTTACATGGATACCAAGAGGCAACTGTATGAGTAAGGTTAAATATAACACCTCTAATTATTATGATCTTAAAAATTCCTTTAACACTAAGGTACCAGATAAGTTACTGAGCCTCAGTTTCCTCACTGTCAGTGCTGATCCCTCTGCCTCAGGGTTGTAAGGATTCTATGTGGTACAGAGTTTAAGCTGCTGCCTTTGATGCAGGCTTCCCGCATGGGTGCCACTTCAACTCCTGGCTACTTCACTTTCTATCCAGCTCCCTGCTAATGTGCTGGGGAAGGCAGCAGAAAATGGCCCTAGTACTTGGGCCCCTGGACCCACAGGGGATACTCAGATGAAGCTGCTGGCTCTTGGCTTCAGCCTGGCCCTGCCCTGGCCATTGGGACCATTTGGGAAGTGAACCAGCTAGTAGAAGATGTCTAACTCTACCTTTCAAATAGATAAATAAATCTTAAGAACAAAACAAAATGATTAAATGAGCACAATCTGAGCTCTAAGTCTCAGTGTAGTACCCAGCAGCGAGTGGGTACTCCGACTTCTGCCTGCTCTACATAGGATTTGGCAAGCCTTAGCCTGGCTTCACCTCTTCCCCAAGGGCACTGCTACAGTGAGAAAAATAACTGCTGCAGAGATATGGGACCAGCCTCTTTGCAAAAATAAATTCCAGTGTGGCCTGAAGTTCCTGGCCCTCACTGCCCAGACGACCAACCCATCACTGAGCCCAGCATCTTCCCAGAGATGTCCATTCTCACAACAATCTGTGCACTGTGTCCCTTCTATAGGACTCCTCCGCTGTCATCCCTCCAAGTGTCCAAGCTCAGGGATTCCAAATAGCAACTGAGCGTTCCAGTGGGCTAGGAGGAAAAAAGAATAAAAAGACGAAGGAAGTGGGGGTCAGTGCCATGGTGCAGTAGGTTAATCCTCTGCCTGCGGCGCCGGCATCCCATATGGGCACCGGTTCTAGTCCCGGCTGCTCCTCTTCCAGTCCAGCTCTCTGCTGTGGCCCAGGAAGGCAGTGGATGGCGGCCCAGGTGCTTGGGCCCTGCACCCGCATGGGAGACCAGGAAGAAGCTCCCAGCTTCTCACTTCGGATCAGCGCAGCTCCAGCCGTTGCAGCCACCTGGGGAGTGAACCAACAGACTGAAGACCTGTCTCTCCCTCTCACTGTCTGCAACTCTACCTCTCAAGTAAAAAAAAATAAATAAAAATCTTTTAAAAAAAACCACAAAGGAAGGAAGAGAAGGAGGGAATAAAATCTATCAGTGAGCTCAGAGATATCAAGTATCTGGAGGGAAGAGGTCCAATGTGTCTCTCCAGGCAGGAGGTATTAAGGGGAAGATACATTTGCTTGTTTTCATTTTATTTTTTAAAAAATATTTAATTTGAAATGGACACACACACCTACACACACCTTTTATCCACTGGTTCATTCCCCGGATGGTCACAAGGTCAGGGCTGGTCCAGGCTGAAGCCAGGAGCTCCATTTGGGTCTCCCATGTGGGTGGCAGGGCCCAAGGACTTGGGCCTTCTGCTGCTGCTTTCCCAGTGCATTAAGCAGAGAGCTGGATGAAGCAGAGTAGCTGGGACTGGAACCAGCACTCAGTTTAGCCCACTGCGCCACAATGCTGGCCCCCATTTACCCGTTTCTTGAATGACCTATTAAAGAAGTTCAATCCCTATGAGGTCTCAGATCACACTTCCTTTGCTCTAGAAAGCTTGTGCAAATTGATACAATCCCTGAGCACAGCCACAAGATCCCAAGCCCACAAGTATTAGTTATCTGGCAAATGGCTGCCTCCATCATAGATGGAACTTGTGGGGAACAAGGTCTGTGACAAAAATCCAATAGCAGGGATTAACCTTGGACT